AGATAGATAGATAGATAGATAGATAGATAGATAGATAGATAGATAGATAGATAGATAGATAGTAGATGAATGGGAAACACACTGATTTCTAGAACTGGCTCATGTGACTGTGGTAGTGGTGAGTTCAAAATTTTTCGGACAAACCAGAGGGTATAAATGTAGCTTAAGTGTGGATATTGCAGAATTGAGCCCAAATTTATACGGCAAGAAACAAGAATATATTGAATGCTTGATTAGACTTGTTTCTCAAAGGAATTTCTATCTTTGATCTTGCAGCATTTTACTGATTAGACAATGCCTACTGATTATGGAAGGTAATCTGTGTCACCCAAAATCTACTTACTTAAACTCTATTCATTTTTTTTAAATACCATTAGATTGTTATTTAACTAAAAAAAAAAGTAGATGCCGTAGCTCACCAATGGTGACCTATATTTCCAAATAGAGTAGATGAAGAGTAAAACAGCCAAATTGATTTGACCTAGAATATATACAATTATATTTTATTAAACATAAATAATAAAAGCAGTTACTTTCAAGTATAATTTGAATTAATGTTTTAACATGTTAACTATTTGCATTTTTTTCTACCTCTGGAGATTAAAAAGTGAAATATATATTGGAAAAGTTCAGAATGATCGCATGAATGCAATTTTTTTCAGTGTTAAAGGCTACAAACCATTTCCCCCTATTCTCAATAATCTCTCCCACTACTCTAAAAGACAACAGTACAAACCTCATTAGATATGAGATAAAGTAAGAAAGTTAACTCAGCTTTCTTTAATGATGATGATGATAAAGAATAAAAATAGAAGCTCTTGTCTGAACAATATCTTAGGGAAAGAGCAGTGTCATAGAAAGGAAACATTCAACAGATGGCTTTCCATGATGACCACACAGTAACATGAGCTAGACCAGCATGAGTGGTAGATGAGGTTTCTCTTTAAGTTATGAGCATGAGCAACCTGGGTTTTTTCTCATTTGGAGATGAGGTTTTGATAGATCTCTGCTATACTTGTGCACTGCATGTAAACTCCGTATTTAAAGGTCCATCATTTATACTGTAAGGGAATTTCCCTTGGAGAGTGAGCAGAGCAGGTAACAATTCTTGATCCTCTGAGAAAATGCTGCAGTATCAGGTGAAAGTCTATTCTCACTCTTGCATAAGCCTATCTAAGCACAAAAGCTTCTGTAGTCATGGGAACACTTAGACCATGCCCACAGGGTCCGGAGATACCTGCCCCATCCATAATCCCAGCTCCAAAATGCTTAGTGCTTATGAAGGACCACGTTGCCTCTCCCACAGCAGACTACAAGACTAGCCTATTATGTGAAGGGCAGAGAGGTGCAGAACTCCTTGTGAAAGGGGAGATGTGGGTCTCTGTGGGGGAGCGGTCCTAGAAAGTACCTGCACTCCTGAGCAAGTAAGATCAAAAGTGATAGGACTGCTTCTCATAGTTCCTCAGAAGGTATCTCCTTCACCGAATTATCATTTCCACAAATTTAAACTAAATGTTCCTGACTGAATCCTAGAGCTGGAACCCTGGCCACCTACAACATTCTCTCCCACTTCCTTTCCTTCAAGGACCCCTGCCTTCCCGTTTTGTTTCAAGCGTGTTGATAAAATTGTCTCAGGCCAAAGGTGGGCATGCAACCTGATACAGATGTTTTACTAGAAAAGCAATACTTTCTCCTTCCAGTAGTGTGTCTTACATGGCATATTGTGTCTGAACAACTCTATGAGGCAGGCAGAGGTCTATGAAACAATAGGTTAATTTAGCCGAAACTGACAGAAGAGAAAGGTCTGGAGGATATTCTGGAATTTGCCAGCCAGGGCCAGGATGCAGACTCTGTACTTCTATGTATCTGAGGTGAGGTTCGGAGGTCGCAGATATATTCTTACAATTCTCTTACTTTGGAGCTCACCAGTAACACATTCTCCAGCAATCTGATGGAGATAGATAGATTAGATAGATAGATAGATAGATAGATAGATAGATAGATAGATAGATAAATAGATAGATAGTATATTATATATATATATGACATATATATGATATCCATCAAAACAAACATTTCCTGAACATATGGTTTGACACTCTAAGTTTGTTTCTCACATACATTATTGCTACCCTAAGCAACACTTAGGACTTCTTCCACATTGTGACCCAGGGACCAGATGGGAATTACACGTGGATTTAGGGGCTAAGACCAGAACTGGCACAGTTCCATGTGCTCACAACACTGAGAAGACCACACCAGCCACAGGAAAGCTGGCAATGCTGTCTGGATGCAAACCAAGGAGAGGGAAGATTTGGCTTTGGGGGCACAAAGCCAAATTGGCTCCTAAAATGGAAAGCAGAGGGATTTTTAAAAAACGTAATTATCAACAAATAATGCAAAAAAGGTTATGAATTTGAAAGAGGACAAGGAGGGCATACAGGAGAATTTGGAAGGGAGATAGGAAAGGGGGAAATGATATAATTACATTTTAATGTCAAAAACATAATTAACACTTTTTCAATGTACTTATGTCCTTTTTAGCTCCATACCCAGATTCACTTTCTTTTTTCTCTCCAGTTAAACCTGAGGCTCCTTTTGACCTAAAAATAGTTTACCGAAAAGAAGCAAATGATTTTTTTGTGACATTTAATACATCTCACTCAAGAAAGAAGTATCTGAAAAATTTAATGCATGACGTGGCCTACCGCCCAGGAAAGGGTAAAGGAAACTGGACGGTAATGTAGCTCAATTGTGTTCATAAAACAAACATAATCATATTTTGGTTTCAGAGCCCGTTCTTTACTCAGAGAGGCTTTTTGGGATCCTGCACGCTTAAGCCCCCACTACCCCAGCATCTCTCTTGGTCCATCCTCACCTAACTAGCTCCATTTTGTCTCTATGGTTCGGGTGTAGACAAGAATGCATGCTCATCAAGTACCAGGGCGGGCTGGTAACCATGGGATGGCTCCCTTTCTCTGAAGAGAAAGAAGTGAGTGGAGGGGGGTGGGGCATGAGGGAGGGACTGGGAGGAAAAGAGGAAAGGGTGCTTTGATCAGGTTGTAAACTAATTAATTAAATAAATAAATGGGATAAAAAATAATGTATGCTCAGATGAACCTCATTCTCATTATACAAAACCTTCAGTTCATGGGATAATCAGGAAAAATAATGAGGCCAGCAGGTCAGCAGAAGATGGGGCAGAAGGTTTGTCTGCCACTTTGTTTTTATTTTAATGTCTAAGGTTTCAGCTGCAGAAGAAACAATTATTGTTATTCAGTTTTCATTTTCTGTATATTTAGTCTGCTTCTTGGTGGTCTGCTGAGACTAAAAGGATCTTGCTGGTCTATTTGGGAGATGAGCTGGGAAAGAAGCAGAGTATCCCAGATGGTTGGGTCTCTCTTTACCTACCAGCTTCGCTTCAGTCCTCCCCATGTCACATAGATAACTTTTTTCAAAAGATGGCCTCTCCTATTTAAGAATAAAAGAATGTGTCCTTATGCCTGATGCCCGCCTTACTCAAGCAGGGTCATCTGTATAACTTTACCCGTGTGCTGAGGCATGCTGGTTTTAGATGTCTACTCCTGTCCAAGGCATCTGCTACCCCTCTCTACCTTCTCCACACACATACACAAACTGGATGACCTTCCTCTGACCTTCTCTCATTAACCATCTGACAGTACCACCAGTAGTAAGGCAACATTAGTAGAAAAAAGAAGGATTATGAATAGATGACTCAAAGACAGCTTACTGTCTTTTAAAGAAAAAGAATAAATTAAATGTCCAGCCTCTACTGGAGACTTATTTATGTCAATACACACAAACACAATTGTTAAGTCAAATAAAAATTAGCATTAAATTACCACATAACTGTTAACAGATGGCCTGTCTACATAAAATTGTTAGTAAGTCATTAAGATAGAGGCAAACATTATAACAGGCAAATGAGCAGAAAACTGTCATAAATAAGAAATATATAAACTCAATTAACATAGTCAAACAATATACATAACAATGAGATACTACTTTTGTCTATAAAATTAATATAACATCTTTTTCTTTAAAATAATACAGTGTTGGAAAAACACATGTCTTTACTGTTATGTGTGGTGTAAAATGTACTCTTTCTGGAAGGAAATGATTATTGCTCACTAGCTTACCCTTTGTTGCTCCTCGGTGCATGGAAGGCAATAGAAAGAAAAAAAGAGATGCTGGAATAGGATAGCTATGAGCCTAGGAGAATCTGCCCTTCAGTCTGCTGCTGAACCTTTTGTATAGTTGAACTCCCTCATTTAAGAAATATGAACTTTAGGAGAGTAGTAGCAACTTGACTGAAAGAGTTTGTGCTAAAGCGAGTTGAGAAATCTAGTCAACATGTCTTTTTACATCTTTCACATTACAATAATGTAGCTTATTTTTTTTCTCCCTAGCATATACATCTATCCAATACAATAACAACAATCCTACAGAGAACGCTACAACCAAAAGCAGTGTATGAAGTCAAAGTCCGATCCATCCCCCATGACAGATACTTCAAAGGTTTCTGGAGCGAGTGGAGTCCAAGTTCCACCTTCGAAACTCCAGAGCGTGAGAACGCAGGTAGGCAAAGGCTGTAGAATCCCTGTCCTCCCCCCCCACACACACACACACATGCACACACAAGACTTCATATAGCAAGTGTAGCAGAGAAGAGTGATGTAAAAAAAAACCCAGGTCAGGACACTGGGAGCCCTCTTACACTTGAACCTGATAGCGGAAACAGATTGTGTCACTGCCATTGACTCTCAGGCGCTCCTGGATCTACCACCATTTCCACCTTTGTCAGGGATCATGGCTGATCTCTCTGTGACCCCTCTAGATAGCAAGCATCTTTGCTAATAGAAAGTGAGTGGGCCAATATGACTATCTACTACATCTCCTTTCTCAGGGTAATAAAGATGCTGTGGGGTCTGGGAATACCAATAGCCAGAGAAGCCAGAAAGAGAAGGAGTAGGGAAAGCACCAAAGCACCTTACAGAAAACTGCTTGAGAGAGGGAGGTTATTCCTGCTCAGCCAGCTTCCCGCTCTCATTCCGGAACTTGAGACAGCAACAGGGTGAACATTTATCTCTTCAGCTCTTATTTAGACATTTTTGGGGGGGAGGGGTGGTATTGGTAGCTTCCATTGTGGAAGGTCATCTTTACATTTCAAATAGCTGATGTTCTTGCCTTAGTCACCCAGATCAGCACCAGTCTTTCTGTCTGTCAAAGAACTATTGTTAGGAAACAATAAGTCAGACTGTTACTAAGTAAAACCAAACCACCCTAAATACATACCCCCACTTTGTGCTCCCTAAATGCTAACCATGATCTCTCCTATATTCCAGGGCAATGGGATATTGTTTTGGCAAGTATCGGCATTCTGAGTTTCTTCTCTATGGTTTTGTTGGTCATCTTAGCCTGTGTGCTATGGGAAAAAAGGTGATTTTCTTTAATAATCCAGGGGGTAATTTGTGGATCCTCACAAAAGCAGGACTCAGGACCCACTTACTTATCTAGAAAAATTTAAAGGGAGACTTGTGTGTGTTTGTGTTTGTCTGTCTATCTGTCTCTCTGTCTGTGTATGTATATGTGTTCAAGTATGCGCAGATGTACATGAGTGCTGGCCTACAGGCAACCAGCACTCAAAATTGATTGTGTTACTCAATCATTTTCTACCTTGTGTTTTGAGACAGACTAACTGTTCAGTAAACTCTGAATACCTGTCTCCATCATGTCATCACTGTTACTGACACATGCTGTCATTCCTGACTTTTATGTAGAGTACCTGAACTCCGGTCTTCATGTTTGTATGGCAACAGGTTCATTTACTGAATTATCTCCCTAGGCACTTGCACCCCAAGTAAGAATTCTGTTAAAAAGTGTTTTTCAAATGTTTTCCCCGCAACCTCCTAAAAGATATAAAACTGACTACCCATACAAGTGGCCTTGTGACTTTCCGTGCACAAATTCACAAGACTTTTGTATTCTAGTCAATGATAAAATCATGCACTGTGAAATTACTCAGTGTTCTAGGAAGACGCCCTCAGCACAGGGCCACATACTCCTAGGACAAAAAGTACTTTAATTTGAAAAATGCCACCATAAAATAATTTCCTTGAATAGCTTAAAACATACCCCCACTCTCACTAGAATTAAAGCAAAACAGTTACTTCCAGTAAAGACAATGAATAAGATGACAATACCAATATTGAACATAAAAAACCAGGTCACATTTTAGCTCCATATCAACACCAATAGTACCTCCCTGCAAACCTCACTCTTCACTTTAGGGCACTTTCTGACATAATTACAGTGTCTTGTCCACAACAGATCAATAGCCATGACCTCTGTTCAGTAGCCTCCTTAAATCAAGAGTGTGATACAGGCCAGAGAAGATAAGATATTTGTGCACAGTGGCTACATAGCAGCAGCAGAGCCAGTCTGAGAAAACTCTTTTTACAATCTCCCTCAAATACGGAGAAAGACGTATTCTCCCTCTGCCGATTGTTTCATCTATGAATGTTCTCTGGTTTTAGGATTAAACCTATTGTATGGCCCAGTCTCCCTGATCATAAGAAAACTCTGGAACAACTATGTAAGAAACCAAAAAAGGTAAGTGCCTTGTGTTGGAGAAAGAAACACCATCCCAGTGGGATCTTAGTCTAAGAATGTTTGGTCTCTTACGTATCGCATAACTGAGTCTTTTTATAAGACATTGAGGAGTAAATCGAAGATACACAGGGCAAGGGTTAGGTGTGCCATCAGTGTTTCCTTCAAACCCGGAGAATCACAGCTCAGGCAGAAGTGAAGCCAACTGGAGAGCAAGCAGGCCATTCTCTAGCATTGCATCGTAATTTTTTGTGAGAAAGTTCCTTAGACATTTTTATTTTCCTAAACCAAATGCAGAGCAGCAGCTCTTTCCAGTGCCACTAATGTTTCTGTCTTTCTCTGCAGAATTTGAATGTGAGTTTTAATCCTGAAAGTTTGCTGGACTGCCAGATTCATGAGGTGAATGGCATTCAAGCCAGAGATGAAGTAGAAAGCTTTCTGCAAAATTCTCTTTCTCCACAACCTGATCCTACACAACCCGAGGACCTGGAGAAGGAGGGACATGGAGCAGCTGGACAAAGCCCAAACTGGCCATCCGAGATTTTAGATAGCACACCAGAAACGTTCAGAAGAGAGTCACTCCTAAGAAGCCCGGCTAGAAATCTGAGTACATGCAATACCCCCACAATCCTTTCCTCTAGGTCCCCTGACTCCAGAGATGGTGACAGGAATAGGCCTCATGTGTATCAAGACTTGCTGCCAAGCCCTGGAAACACAAATGACCCCCTCTCTCAGCCATTTTCTCTCCAGGCAGGAATCCTGATTCTAGTTCCTCAGGGACAGCCCATTTCCACTCCCTCAGCACTGAATCAAGAAGAAGCATATGTCACCATGTCTAGTTTTTACCAAAACAAATGAATTGTGAGAAACCTAAGACCCCCTTCTATCACAAAAACAATGATCACTGGGCTACAAAGTCCAAAATGCCTACCCTCCTTCATAGCTCCCAGAAGACAAAGTCAATGGGACCTTGTGACACATCTTCAGCATTCTGAGAAATCATTTTGATATCTTATCTCAGAAGCATTTACACAAAACAGGAAAAATCAGTTTCTCCCTTGTTGGATTTGTCTTAAGAGTTCATATGAGATGACACAATTAAAATTACAAAACTCAAATTAAACAAAAAACAAAGGGAATGATAAAAGAATGTGATGAATGGTAGAATAAAGAAGAAAAGAAGAGAAGCCCAACAGGAGCAGCTCTATCTTTAGGACTTACTATATATTCAGTACTCTATGATCTCATTTCTTCTTCACAAGAATACTACAATGTGGGTTCATCCATTATAATTGTTATTTTCTTTGTCATAGATGCCAAGGTTGAGTTCAAGTAGTTTGTCTAAGCTTTCCTTTCAGCAAGAGGTGAGGCAGCCTTCCCTTGCCATGAACCTGTCTTATTGTTGAGTGTCAAACATCACCACTAAGTGGATAATTACATAGTCATTATTCAAACTGGGCCATTTTGGAAGAGAAAATTAGAAGTAATTAACAGTAAGTATAAACTGTGTCTGTCTCAGAGAGATGTGGATTTATGGTTATTTTACTTCAAGTGGCTATGAGGAAGAACTTAGAGAAAAATATACACTTATGGATATGAAGTACCATGACCATGTGTCAAAGGAAATGGGAGAAAGAAAAGAAACCATCAAGCTCATTAGATTTTGTTTTTTTTTCTTTTGAAAACAAACTCAAGAATCAATAGAAGCCAAGAAGTTCCAGAGTCAGTTATCAAGGCCATGATCCTCCTGCTGCTATTACCCATTGGCCTCCATGTGAGATCCCAGACCCATAGCAGTACATTTAACCAGTTAGTGAGTGGAATAATAGCCCTCCATTGTGTGAGATACCATTACAAATGACCTCAAGTTCTATAGCTTCGAACTTTGCCTGAAGAGGGGGCTGGGTACACTTCAATGAGTACCCCAGCTGAGACCATGCTTATGGAAACACAAAGAAGATAGGTAAGTTAATCAAATTCAAACATTAGTTCATGAGTGCAAGCCACAATTTTGTGTCTCTGCTGTGCACAGCCAATCTCCTGAAGGAAACAGGAAATGACTGGAAGAAACCAATGTGTTCCTTATCACTAAGATCCTCTGTTTCAGGGTTGACATTAGTTATTTGAATTTGGGTGTCTTTCTGGTCATGTATTATAACCATGCATTATATTCAATAACCACAGCTGCTGCTAATGCTTGATTATACACTCAGGAACAGCATACAATGTAACATTACTGATTGGTTCTACCAATTTCCCTCTTGGATTTCATGAAGGAAAAGCAAAACTCTTGGTCAGAGACAATATGCAAAACAGAGATGTCCAGTACTACTTCCAAGTAATGTGAAAGAAGGATGAGAAATATGCAACTAATTTGATCAATCAACAATGTGTGGATCCAGTTTCCAGTTACTCAATTTACTTTCTATAAATCTTTGTCTCTCTCTTCAGTGAGGCTTCCACGGAATTTGTGCCTTCAAATCCAAGTATGGGCTATTTTAGATGTATATATTTGTGTTGTTTGCAGAACTAAGATTTGGAACTGACAAAAAGGATAAGAATGTGTATTTGGGAATCTGGAATTGATACAGCTCTGGTGATTGTTTTTTTTTGTGTGTGTGTGTGTGTGAGCTCAACAGTTTTTCTTCTGCATTCTTTAAAACACTCACCATTCACTACAGTGAAGTTCTCTGAGTTGACTGTGCACTTTTAAAATGCATTATTAATATCCTGTAGAGCTCTTACATAGAGAAATGTATGGCATGTGTTACCATTTCACATTTAATTAAATGCTAAGGAACTCTATGGCTGTGGTGTCTTCTGTGGCTGTGACAACTACACTGAATAAGTACATCCCTACCGTTCAGCACAGACCTCTTTAACTACTGAAAACATTCTTAGATCATCTAACGGGTTAAGCTTTGCCCCTGTATGGGTCATAGAGAAGGATACGAGAACAACTGGCGTTTAAACATACACTGAGAGGAAGGTATTGTTCCAGATATAAATCCCCAACATAGAGTGGAGACTCTACTGCTAGGACAGAGGAAAAGAACAAAACCAGGTAAAGGGGGTGGAGAAATGATTCAGCAACTAAGAACACTGGCTGCTCTTCAATTTCTGAGGACCCCAGTTCAATTCCCACAACTTATATGGTGGTTCAACATTGTCTATAACTTCATTTCCAGGGACCTGACATCCTATTCTGGCCTTCTTGGGTACCCAGGGTGCATGTGACACAGACACATACATGCAAACAAAACACACACACAAAGTATAAACTAATAATTTTGAAAATGTTTAAAAAAGAAACAGATAAAGGCTACATGGAAGAAGATACAAGCAAGAGAAACTTAAAGATCACATTTCCTATGGTAATATACCACACTGGAATTAGCCAGTTAGCTGAGCCTGGAGATCACATAGGAAAAAATGTAGTGAGACATGGAGTTGTGAGAAAAAGCATTCAGGGGAATGTTTAAGTACAGCAACTACCATCGCTGATTCAGTAGCACCAATAATATTATGGCAGTTACTTCAGAAAGAAAGAGAATTCACATTTTCATAAAAATAACATTCATGTTTAAAGTTTAATTTAAGCATGTCTGCATATTCTGTTTGTATCTTGGTCAACTGAGGCCACTCTAACAAAACACTGTGGTCCAGGTAACTTAAAAACAACAGCAATTCAATCCTACTATAGAATAAACATACTAAGATCTGTACACCTAAAGAAGCTAATCAAGGAGAACCCTAGGTCCTCCTTTACTCAGAAAGACAAACAGGATGGATATTGGTAGAAGGAGAAAACAAGAAAAAGGACAGGAGCCTACCACAGAAGACCTCTGAAAGACTCTACCCAGCATTGTATAAAAGCAGATGTTGAAACTCATAGCCAAGCTTTGGGAGAGTGCAGGGAATCCTATGAAAGAAGAGAAAGATAGAAAGACCTGGAGGGGACAGGAGCTCCACAAGGAGAGGAACAGAAGCATTATCTGGGCGCAGGGGTCTTTTCTGAGACTATGCACCAACCAAGGACCATTCATGGATATAACCTAGAACCCCTGCTCAGATATAGCCCCTGGCATCTCAGTATCCAAGTGGGTACCCTAGTAAGGGGAACAGAGACTGTCTCTGACATGAACTCAGTGGCTGGCTCTTTGACACGCCCCCCGAGTGGGGAGCAGCTTTGCCAGGCCACAGAGGAGTACTGGATTGCAGTACTAATGCAGCCAGTCTTGAAGAGACCTGATAGGCTAGGGCCAGATGGAAGAGGGGAGGACCTCCCTTATCAGTGGGCTTGGAGAGGAGCATGGAAGGAAATGAGAGAGGGAAGGTGGGATTGGGAGGGCATGAGGGAAGAAGGTACAGCTGGGATACAATGTGAATAAACTAATTAATATAAAAAAATTAATAAAAAAGAAACTGAGAAGTGTGTCACTGTGATAGCATTCTGATGAAGAATCTCAGTAAAATAGCACTGGATTCTCACTGTGCCTTACAGAGTGGAAGGTTTTCTCTGAACACCCTTGCACCTCTTTCATAAGGCCCTACATTCCAGTTCCATCACAATAGAAGTTAAAATTTCAACATGAATTGTAAGGACACCAACATTCAGAATGTAGCACATTATAAGGCCAGGCCACTCTTCCTAGGGTATGCTCATAATTTCACCAATAAACTTATCAACAAATGACTCTCTTTAATTCTTTTTCATTTCTTTGAAATGAGAAATGGCTTCAAGATAATTAAAGAGACAGAAAGGACCCCATCTTTAAAAAGAATTATTTTTCATCCTTAGAATTTCTGCCATCATTCTGCTACCCCAATTTTTCAGCAATGTTCTTGCACTGTAAGTTATTAAGTCCTCAGAATTTTCAAAGTTCTCTTAGCTCAAAAGCTGCCTTTCTTTGCATAGTCATAATACATTAGCTCCCTAAATATAATAATACCAAATTCTAGTTCCTTAAACAAGTGGAGACTCCTATTGCCATCTTTTGTGAGCTCACATGTGATTTAGTAGAAGCAGTTGAACAGAGCATAATCACATCCTAGTTCTTTTTTAATTTTTATTTTTATACTAATTACAGTTTATTCACTTTGTATCCCAGCTGTAGCCTCATTCCCTCCCAATCCCACTCTTTTGCCCTCATCTCCTCCCATGTCCCTCTCCAAGCCCACTGATAGGGGAGGTCCTCTGACCATGGCTTATCATATCTCATCTGAACTGGCTGTATTATACTCCTCTGTGGCCTAGCAAGGCTGCTCCCCCATCCAGGGGAGGCGGTCAAAGAGCTAGCCAGTGAGTTCATGTCAGAGATAGTCTCTGTTCCCCTTACTAGGTTACCCACTTGGACACTGAGCTGCCATGGGCTACATCTGAGCAGGGGTTCTAGGTTATATCCATGAATGGTCCTTGGTTGGAGTATCAGTCTCAGAAGAGACTCCTGTGCCCAGATATTTTCGTTCTGTTGCTATCCTTGTGGCGCTCCTGTCCTCTCCAGGTCTTACTATCTCCCCTTTCTTTCCTAAGATTCCCTGCACTCTGCCCAAAGTTTGTTTATGAATCTCATTATCTGCTTTTATACAGTGCTGGTTAGAGTAGGGTTCAGAGGCCCTCCATGGAAGGCTTCTGCCTTGTTTCCTGTTTTCTCCTTCTTCCAAAGTCTGTCCCATTTATGCAAATCAAAACCACCCTGAGATTTTACCTTACACCCATCAGAGGGGCTAAGATCAAAAACTCAAGTGACAACACATGCTGGAAAGGTTGTGGAGAAAGGGGAACCCTCCTCCATTGCTGGTGAGAATGTAAACTTATACAATCACTCTGGAAATCAATCTGACACTTCTCAGACAATTAGGAATAGTGCTTCCTCAAGATCCAGCTATACCACTCCTAGGCATATATCCAAAATATTCTCAAGTACAAAAAAAGGACATTTGCTCAACCATGTTTGTAGCAGCTTTATTTGTAATAGTCAGAATCTGGAAAAACCCCAGATGTCCCTCAACTGAGGAATGGATACAGAAATTGTGGTACATTTACCCAACGCAATATTAGTCAGCAATTCAAAACAAGGAAATCATGAAATTTGCAGGCAAATGGTGTGATCTAGAAAAGATCATCCTGAGTGAGGTATCCCAGTAGCAGAAAGACACACATGATATATACTCAGTTATAAGTGGACACTAGACATATAATATAGGATAAACCTACAAAAATCTGAACACCTAAAGAAGGCAAGCTAGAAGGAGGACCCTGGGTAAGATGATCAATCCTCACATCCTAGTTCTAGTGGGGATGCCACTGTATTTAAAACAAGATGGAGAGAAACGGTTGACTTGGTGAGTGGTGCAGAGAATCATGTCTATGAGCCTGAGAACCAGCATACCAGAGAGTCTAAAGAGTTGTGATTAGAGCTGAAATGACAGAGTTGATGGAGGTCAAAAATTAAGCATGTGATTTCCATGTTGTTATTTGCCCTATAGGGGCTGGGCATGCTTGCAAAGATGTGTAGCCTTAAGAACTTCATGTGGGGGCTCTGCATTTAAGAAAGCTTGTTGTTCTTACAGAAGAGCTCAGTTCTTATCTCTGCACCCACAGGGAAGTTCAAAACTGCCTGTAACTCCAGTTCCAGAGTATTTGTTGCTCTCCTCTGGTCTCCTGAGGTTCTTGCATGCACATAGTGCACAGGAACTAACACACTCACACACACGCACACACACACACACACACACACAGAAATGAAAAGTAAATCTCTTAACCAACCATTTAAAAGCCTTCATGTGCAAGTGTGTATTAGATTTTATGGATGTAAACATGAAGCACTTGTGATGTTTTCCTGTATTTTTCTCTCAGAGGGAGTGGATTGAATTCTATTGGATTGAAACAGCCCTTCCAGATCAGATTACAGACTCTCATGCTTTGGCCTGCATAGAATCATCTCCAATTCTTAATAATGCCAGGGTCCCAAAGTATAAGGCGCTTTTTCTTTATTCCTAACAATTCTTTACTTCCTTATTACTCTCTAATTTATAAGCCCCTATGTAATTTTCTTGAAGAAGAGATCACCTTGTCAAAAACAAGATCCTTTTTCATTTCACGTTATCATGTCTTTATTTATTTCCTCCACAATTTATTTCCTCCCTTTGTAGTACTAATTACATAATTTCTTTCATTGACTGTTGCTGATTCTCTTCAACTCTAAACATCAACTTCTAAGGAACATCTGCCATCTATTTTATTCTTAGGTGTTCAATAAATGCTAATTCACAGAAGTGAGAAAGAAACCCAACAAGGAGGGGATGTTGTCACCAAGACCTATTTGATATCTTGGTCTTAGATGTTCATCTTAGACATGGCTATAGTTCCACCTAAGTTGGATAGAGAGGTTCTCCTGGCCCTGACCTGCTTCTGATATGATTTACCCAACACAATCACCAGAGAAATAATACTAATCAAGTCACTCCCCTGAGAAAACCTCTGATAGCTTCCAAGCAAGGAATAGAAAAAGGCTTTTAGTGATCTACTATATTCATTTCTAAGGTGTTGCAAATTATTACATACTTAGACGTTTAAAACAAAATAAACACATCCTCTTTATGTATCAAGGAGTCAGATATCCAAAACAAATCATTAATGTCTAAAGATTCAAGTGTTTATTGAACTACATTGTTCTGGAATCTCTAGAAAGTTCATTCCCTGCTTTTCTCACTACTCAGGCAAACAGCAGTCTCTAGAATCTGGAGTCTAAATCATCCCTCTATCATGAAAGTGAATCTTTGCAACCTCTGTTCTC